TCGAGGTCGATTACCTGGGAAACTGTCTTTTTCTGGAGAATCTACGTCAATTTTGAGACCAAAGAGAAATTATGGAGGGGGGTACTGTCCCCCTCTTTAGGGGGTCATTTTTGGGCCTTGGATGGTCCGATTTTGGATTTTTTGGGGGTCAATTCCACGTGAAATTTTCCGTGCTTTTCAATTCTGATGCGATCTTTCCGCAATTCGGTCGGGAACAATGACTTTTAGCATCGTGACCCCCTCTTTACCCCCCAAGGGGTGGAGGGGGGGGTTCGGGACCACAAAATTCGGATTCCTTGGGGTCAATTCCCTATTCAACCCCGCGGTCTCCGACTTCGTACGACCTATACCAACCGAGAAAAAGGCCTGGTACGGGTGGTCTGAAACACCCTGTATAGTGAATGGGTACTTTGTACATAAAATGCTTTGAGCAAAAATTTTTGAACGAGAGCCGGAATTTTACCTAAAAGGTATTAAGTTGAACAGTTTCTGGAGGAAAAAATGAACGTAAAAGAAGCGTATTATGATTGGATTAATTGCTACATACAAAAAAAAAGGGCAATATTGTTGAACAAATAATAAAATATCTTCCCACCCCAAAAAATGGTGGAAATCCCTGTAAAACAGTGTGGAGATGCTACCATTATATTCTAGGTGGTGGTAGCCACTCCGGCCCGATCCTTAAAAACTACCCCTAAAAGTTGACGACCAAAAAAAAAAAAAAAAAAAAAAAAAAAAAAAATTCAGACGGGTAGCTGCTGCCTAACTAGTTATACACGAAGAAACTCGATCGGGCTTTTCTGCAAGGTTTGCGGTCCATTTAGCTCTCCTGCTAATTAGGTAGTAGAGTAAAGCCCAAAAACCCTATAATATTTGGGTAAAATATGCTCAGCTCTACTCGTAATGCCCTCGTTTTTTTAAATTTAGTTAAATATTAAAAAAGTTATTAGGCTTAAACGAAAAATTTTGGACCCCAAAACATGACGATGATGGAATTGTTGAGCAGATACAGGGCCCGCAAAACGCTCGGCCGCGGCAGGGTGGGCGTGTCCACATAGAACAACCTACAGCTATAACCATAGAAAAAAACATTAAAAAAGTATATATATTTTGAATCAGCATTATATAAATTACATAAAATTTTTCGGAAATTTGAATATAATGACGTATAAGGGGGAACAATTAATAATTATGTCGGTTTATTGCCGGTGATCTGTTGGAAACAATTCCTGAGTTTGAGTAATAAGAGGTGAGAGATGGTCTTTATGACTTTTAATGGGATAGAATCTAGCAATCATAAACTATCACTTCAAAAGATCATTTTTTTTTTAAATTTTATCTTTGGAATTGAATCCATTAGTAATTCAAATGGCACTCTCCCTTTCACCCTGTTGCGCGTTTAAAATCAATCGGTCAACTAGAGTCTAGTTGACCGGAATGGGCAAATGGAGAATCATAATGATGAAAGTTATCAAAGGGTTTCATTGCAGCAGGCCGATTATTGAAAGTTTGAAGCAGTCTGATAAGAGATCGAAATGCGATATATTGCATGGTTAAGATAGGGCTGTCTTGCCTTGTCGTCCTGACATAGTTTCAATAAGCAGCTCGCAGTTGAGAATATTTATGTCATCACAACTGAAGTTTATTGTGTACCATCTCCTTATGAACGGAAAGATTTAACGTAGGTACCAAGACTTTATATGTCGTCCGGATAGGAATGCACACAGTAAACAAAGTAAGTAGCAAATTTTCGTTTCATACACATCGTTCCCTCAGTAATCAAAGAATCATAAAGGAAAACGCACTTACAACCAAAAAGGTACCTAGAGAGAGAGGGATTTATGATTCATGCAAAATTAAGAATAGTCACATCTGGAAGCATTATTTCTCAGGGCAGCATAAAATTGAAAACGTTTCGTGCGTACAATGAGAAAACCATTCAAGAATTAATATTGTTATTAATTTCAGAAATAGTATGACAAAGGAAGAGAAAGGAGCCAGGAGAAATTGCGACGATATTCTGCTCAAATTCGATCCAAAATATCCGAACAGGACAATAACATAACCTCTATCCATCGCTTCTGTAGTTTCTATCGTGCGTAGCCAATCAGACTTCGGCATTACGTCAAGTGACCCAACTTGGTCACGATTTTAATATTGACCGACGGTTTTTCTTTTGTGACGCACAGGGTGTGCCAAAAATATGGATCCTTCTTATTGATGTCTCGAGAACGATTACAGATTATTGACATGGGGTTTGAACGAAACTTCCTTCAAAATAGGTGGGCCGCTTTTAAATGGGTGGGGGGGGGGGGGGGGCGTCGTTTCCTCTCTGCCTCTCGCCCGGGGACAACTATTAAATTTAGAATGGGAACTCTCTTTGCCTGATACTTCATAGAAGTCGTACCAAAAATATGTGATATCCTTCCAAAAAAACAAAAATATGATTTGTGTACAAAATTTCGGCCCGATCCAAAAAAATGTCACGAAGTACCAAAAAAAAAAAAAAAACAACCAGGCACCCCAAAAAAATGATGGCACTACCGTTTGGATTCATCACTTAAAAGGAAATGATATCAAAACGGCCCAATTTTCTCTTTCATTCTCATGCAATACACCATACACCCCAACGTTTTTCACAAAAAAGAAAAAAATTAAATACCTAAGTTATGACGACCTGAACACGTTTTGATCCATCGCTTTAAAGGAGTATGATATCAAATCGGCCCAACTTCTCTGAAATATGCCCATCTCCGATCAATAACTTTTTCGAGACCTTCCGACTCATCGCTGAGGAGACACTGATCATTACTTGACCCTTAGTCTATACTCTATATGTCTATGTCCCCTTGACTATATGTCCTTAGTTTAGATGTCAAAGAGGTCCTTATGAGAACTGTAGTGAATTTTTTTCTTTAAAGAGATAAAAAACAAAAAAACCGTTATATGATTGAAAAAAAAATCGAAGAGAAAAAGGAATGGGCCGACCGGCACGTACAAAAACAAAAAAACGCTTTCCAGCCACAGTGGAAACGAGAGGTTCATTTCGACTAATCGTTTCTATGAAAACTATTGCGCCTAATGAGCCTAAAATTTTGACCCTCCCAAAAGATGATCCCCTTTGAGATAGGAACATTCCCAAAGTTTCATTACCCTAGCTCAATTCGTTCAAAAGTTAGGAGGGGTGGGACGGACTTTTGGTACACCCTGTATAAGCATAATATGGGTAATTTGGCTATTTTAGCCCAAAAATACCTTTAAATCGACTTTATTTTCCAGGATCTCATCAGAATTTTTTTCTTTTTGGCTTAAATGACTCAGTAGACACTCTACTTCAAGAACCTGAAGAGTTTTTGCTTGTGACTTGTCAAAAAATTTAAACTTGTTCAGACCAACCGTGTGAGTTTAAGACTTTGGCCGCATTCTTTACCCCTTTAAATCTGAAAGTTTTTTGAGGCTTAGGGTTTTCCAAGAAATGGAGCTGTTTAAGGAACGACCATCAAAAGGACCCTAAGCGGCTATATTTCGTGATCAATTGAAGGCAAGAATTGTTTTCTCTCTTTCTTTCTGTCTCTGTAGACAGCAGTGCACGGCCCGTGGCGTCAAGTAGATTCGGCTGGATCTCGCAGGAGCCATGAAAGAGACCCCCGCCTCCGTGCTGCAACGCTCGGTCATTAGGAATATTCATGGAACCTGCAGGCCCTGCGGCCCACCCTCACTTTCCTCTTTTGTGGGAGGGGCCATTCCTCCGAGGCAAAATGAAGTCTCCCCTCTCACGAAAAGATAAAAACCGGGAGTAGATTTCTTCACACGTCAGTAACTCCATAAATATATAATCACTGTTTTTCTCATTCATTATCAAAATGAACTTTTCACGCGGGTCGCCTTCCAGCTCCGCTCGCTGAAACGTCAATGTCAAACGTCGATTAATGGGCCTGTTGCAAACTTTTGCTAGAGCAGAATGAAGAGTTGTTTCCTATAGATAATGCCTCAAAAATCACGATGAGCGCATCGGCAAAGTCTGAAATGCACCCATAAATTCACAATCTGCGTAAGAAATTTGCGTTATTTTGAGCTTCCCGCTTCAAAAACGATACTACTGCACAGGTGAACATTTTGTTAGAGGAGTCGCTCCATCGTCGGCAATATTCATCATGGCCGACGCTTGCGCAGTTCCTCGCGTAATTCGAGGAGAGCTCAAGGTCAATTAAGGCGGGCGAGGAAAATATGAACGTAAACGCCGATTGTTATCTGGTTTAATCCTGTTCAGGTGTTATCTCGTCCCATCACACGTGTTTTGGCGGACTGGCGTCGGCCATGATGAGTATTGCCGCCAATGGAACGACTCCTCTAACAAAATGTTCACCTGTACTGTAGTATCGTTTTCGAAGCGGGAAGCTCAAAAAACCGCAAATTTCTTACGCAGATTGTGAAGTTATGAGTGCATTTCAGACTTTGCCGATGCGCTCATCGTGATTTTTGAGGCATTTTCTGTAAGAAACAACTCTTAGTTTTGCTCTAGCAAAAGTTTGCAACAGGCCCATTGCCACTCGCAAGAGACCACACTGCCACAAGTTGCGGAAAATTATGGGAAAACCTCACAAGGGATGTGTAGTTTTACCAAAATATTAAGGACGTTTTTCTCATTTTTTTTCTCTCACCCGCCCCCTCTACGTCCTTCTCTCTTCTAAACTATCGCGGAAGGTCTCATTTTACTCGTTCCTTGCCTGTTTTTTAATTGATATGCATTAAAGTCAACGCTGCTAAATACAGCGCCTGCCATGGAGTTCTACACGGAAAAAACGTGTGCTCAGCACTATATCGTTATTCCATGAGGAAACCGTTTCCATGTTAAGAAAGAACGCCGTAAGTGCATTTAGCAGTTTCTAAAGTTCCCTCGATGGAATACTTATTTTTGAGACAAATTCTCTGAAAAATTGGAAGAGGAATATTCAGAAGTTTTACAGTAAATGCATTTATGAATGAAGGAATCTTGGCAATGTCTAAAGGCTTATACGGTGGTTTTTCTCAGCACGGCAGGCCTAGCCACCAAAGTTCCCTGTAAACCCTTGGGTATACCTAAAAAAGGAGAGTCTTGCTCTGTCTGTATCGCTCTCTGATTCGTCCATCGGTTTTAAACTTCCCATGGGGCTCTTGTAGACCAAAGCATAGGTATACAAACCCGATTTAGGCGAGGTTGTGTGATCGGCTGTGGAAAGAATGATAAGCACACAAAAAGTTTACTATTCGGCAAAAATATCTTCAAAGCTTATTCTGAACTCAAGTCAGAGGTTGGAAATAAGAAAATATCTACCTTCTCTAGCACTTTGTCACCATCTTCTTTCTTTACCGTGATCCAAACGAAGGAGCGGAGAGACAACCATGAAAGTGTTGCACGCGCCCACCAATCAGAGAGCGGCGCACTTTTTCAGTGGTAAAAGAATTGAGGTGGGAATACTCTCCCTATGTAAGCACCCTATAGTTAATCCATAACCCTTTGGTGAGTTGACGCTCCCTCATGTCTTGCAAAAACTCCTCTTGCTGTCCTTTTACTGGGCGTCCCGCGTCCTCTGCTCCTCACAGGAGGAATCAAATCAAACATCTTTTTTGGTAGCCTCTCTTCCATTGTGTTCATGTCCATATTCTTCAACGCGAACAACATCTAATAAATATTTCCTCTAGACCTTCCCTTAGGACGACCGGAACGCTTTCAGTAGCAAGACACGGAATTTATTTAGGATAATGTGGCTTCCAGTTGGCCTGGAGAAAATTTCAGGTATCGGAAAAAAAAATCCATGCGAGGTATAATATATCGGAAATTCCAGTTTATTGGACATTTTTCTTTGTGCACCGTGAGTGTAGAATAGACACAAGGAGCTTACTAAAAACGAAAAAAATGATAAACTTAGCAAATTTTTCGGCGTAAACACTAAACTTAATGAGCCACGCCCCCGCCCCCCCCCCACCCTCCCTTTTCCGACCGGAATTGAGCGCTCAATTCCGAAGGATTTGAATGCTCCACTGAAGATATTATATCTTTCCTATATTACCCAATATTGGGAGGTTATGTTGTCACAGAGGGTTCAGCGTTTACGCTTGAACCCATCATGAGAATGGAATATTGATGACCTCAATTCACGAGGGGCCTAAATTCACGAAAGTTGGACGATTTTCTAAAGGATTTTTCTCCATGTCCATCAGGGAGTTCCAACAGTTGATTGCACTTGTAAATTATCCTGCATTTTGCACTGTTGATTGTGAATACTTTTTCGGCTTGAGGTTAGTGGAACATAGGGGTGCGAGTTGTGATCGATTCAACAAAAAATCGATTTTTTAACCAGATAAATCAATCAAATTGAAACGGTTTTTAACGCCAAATTTATCGGTCAAATTGTTGTTTCCCTCAAATCGACGCGATGGAGAATTTGCACAAAGTCATTACTTCATCCGGGAGTGCTTAGTGACCTGAATTTGCAATATTTTTCATAATTTTTTCTAATATGGGAAATTTACCGTCTTGTGACATCTGTCGGCATCTTCCATGCATTTTAGAAATTCAGGTTATTTTGTCATATATACTCCAATAATTCGTCGCTTGGCTGACATAAGGACGTAACTAAACAATGAAATGAGCCCGGAAAAGCATTAAAACGTATAGAAGACAGGGTTCATTGCAAAATGCAGTTACGTCCTTATGTCAGGTAAGTGACGAATTGTTCCATTTACAAACCGACCGGTAAAACATTGTACAAAACATTGTATTCTCGAGCTCAATTCGCTTAATAGTTTTATCTTAAGCATGAAATTTACCAAAATTCAGACACCTGCAAATTCTCAATTCTGTGATTCTTGCGATAGATATGCTACTTCATAAAATTATATCCTATTTTTGTTATGTTTAATAATCAACTTTAAAACTGCTATATGGAGAGCAAAGACCAAGAAATTGATACTTAGAAACCATATTCAGAGATTCAATTTTAACCTACACATATAGTCGACTATGATAGATTTTTTTTTTAAACTTCCCAAAAAAAGGAAGAAAAAAAATTCGCATTCCCAGCAACTTGAAACTGTCACCGTCTGCTTTGCGGACGAACGATGAGCCAGGCATTTCCTTTCTGCCTCTTCGTGATCAATCTGACTCTGTTCTACTCCGACAACATTCGGGGAGAAAGGAACGTGGATGAAAGACGGGGGAAAACGGGCGGAATGACGCGCAGGTGAGCCCGAGAGAGGAGGAGAGGAATAATGAGCCAGGATGCGATGAAGAAACACGTAAGGAGCAAATGGAGGAAGAGGAACACACATGCTGCCGTCCTAAGTAAGAGGGCCGTATGAACCTCAGCACCTTGCCCAATTTCATCCGATATTACACAAATTTCTAGGAGTACTTGTGAATATGGTACGTCCGATTTATCAGGGATTTTTTTTCGATTTTTAATTTCGTCGCAATGTAATGTATAGTATACGATGAGGAGGGTTATTGGTGAAGGCGATATTTGGAATGACCCTGCATGTCCTCAAAACTACGATTTTTCGCTCATTGAATGTTTACATTTTACTAGGGAGCTACGCCTCCTGGCCGCTACGCGGCCTCACCACCTGAAACCGCTCGATCCACGCCATCAATGGGCCGCTTCGCAGCCCTATTTTTACCCTCCTATGAATGTTGGTTTTATTTTTCCCTTAAAAAATTACGATATGAGGCATAGTCTACTTTTAGAATGAAATAATTTTTGTATTTAATGAATAAAGAAAAAAAAATGTTTAAAGTCAAAAGGACACGTTTTGCAACGACTAATAATTAATGAAACATTGCGGTAAATGATAATCAGGTCATAATTAAGTAATTGAGGAGTCAGGAATCGAATCCACATCTTGAAACATGTGGGCGCTTCTGACGTCTTAGATGACTCGGCCACCCCTCATCTTGAAGTGTACACTGTACAGGGCGAATCTTGTGTTGATAAGAGCTGATGCGCAGGCTACTCAGCCACTGCGCAACCTCCTCGGCCACTGCGCAACTTTCTGCGCATAGTGGTGGCAGGTTGTGGAGCATTCTATAGATTCGCTCAATTTTAACTTGATTGTAAAAAACCTGGGTTCTACTTCCAAAATCTGATTAGAGCGGGCTCATTTAGGGCCTATCACCTGTCGATAATGGCAAAAATCATGGAAATTGGCCCGGTAGAACGCTCAAACAAACTATGACAAAAAAACATAAATTTACATTGTTTGAATGCGAAAATTCGCAATGATACCACTTTATATAAAAAACCTGGATCATATTTTGAAAATCTGAATAAAGCGGGCTCATCTATGTAGAGACAATTGCCCGTCGATAGCCGCAAAAAAGATGAGGTCCGGTAAAACGCTGGAGCTAAGCGTTACCAGTTACGCAAAATTAGGGGGTCTCGGAGCTTATAGTATAGATGGAATGCATCTTGATTTGCTGTTTTTCGGATTTAATACTGACCTGTACATAGGTCAAAAAGCCGAGCCTGGAGGAAAATGCGAGTTTTGCAGCTTTGTGTTCGAATGCCCTTTATTTCCTCGATAAATCATGATTTGATCATTTTTGGATCTGAAGGCCGTTTGGACAAAAAATGTGAGTTTTGTAGATTTGCGGTCAAATACCAAAACTTTCGAGATATCACCAGATCATGATGCATTCCAACCCCGTATGAAAAAAAAAGTGTACAATTGCAGTAATTCAGCTAGGGCAAGCCCAAGTCTCTGATTGACACATTTCCTTTCCAGTAGAAATGTTGATATTTTTTCTTAAAAATTAATATGCAAGGGGGGAATTTGGCAAGGTGCGGAGGCTCATACGGTGTTTCTCCTGAGCACGACAG